TCGGGTGGGGGGGGGGGCAGCTTGTTTTTTAAAAAATTATATATTCCAAAGAGAAATACCATACATATCATTGCCTTCCCACAGAGTCCTGCTTCTAAAGAGGCTCTGTCTTCAGACTTCTTCCACTGCAGCACAGGAAGTTTAATCTCAAAGAGAAAACAGCTTGAGCTGTCAGGTGTTGCTGGATCACCCAGCTTTGTTTTATGCTCATTGTCCTTGGAATAACTTTGATAAATTTATGGCAATGGTCAAGGGAGGAACATTTAATGTATGTATGAAGCAAACTGTAGATGTTCCTTCAGTGGATCAAGCTCTGGAGGCAGTGCATGATCATTGCATAGTCCACAGAACCATTTGGAGATCACACTTGAAGTGTGATTTCGGGTCAGTTTGAAGATCTTGAGAGATTTCAAAATAAAACAAGTAAGGAAACCTTTTTTTCCAGTAACCATTTTGAGTGGTACACTGAAGTGCTCTTCAAAATTGAGTAGATGCTTTTTTATGTGAGGAGGAGGAATGTTAGTGTTCCCATGATGTGGAAAGGGCAGTAAAGCAGACTTTTCTTTTTTCAAAAAAAAAAGGCTTAAAATTTTTATCACAGAGCTATGTTTGATTGTTTTGGTTGCTATCCAGGAGAGGTCAAAATAACAAGGACCTCCCAGATCTATGCCTGTGGAGAAGGACCTCTGAAGAAACCAATCTTTTTTTTTCAGTGATGAATTACACTCCCTGGTTTGGATAAATTGGGTGATTCATCCCCTAATCCTCTGGTAGTGTGGTTGCTTGCCCTGCGACGCTGGAGTTATTTGCGGTTGGCCGTCACAGAAGGGTAATGAAAGGAGGATTATAATAAAATTGGTAGTTTGCACCCCTTTTGAGGCAGCGAGGGTGGCAGCGTGATGTGTAGTTTGAGCAGTAGCAAATACTTGATATTCTCAGGAGAATCTTTGCTTGTAGTCCAAATTATAGTCGGAAGCATGGCTTTGAAGCTGGCCAGCTTGCGTTTTTAGGTGGAGGAGGCTCTGCGTTTGCTCAAGAACTTGCAGCTCACGTTGTTGTGCTTGAAGGCTTTGTTAGATTACTAGCAACCTGCCTCTCCCTCCAATATTGTGTGATATACATTAAAAAAAAAAAAGTAAAAAGACAAAAAAAAAGGGAATAAATATTGCACAGGTCTTGGGATGTGTGTCCTTTGTACCTTTGAAGACAGAAGAAGCAAGAGAATGGAAATAATGCTTTCTTGACAGCTAAAATATCTGAAGCATAGATGTGTGTGGTAGG